AAAATTAACTCTATCCCAGCTGAAACCAGGACAGTTTCTTACAAAGAATCCAAAAATAGGAGTTCTTACCTCTTTTATGACATGTGTCTTTTCATAAAACTGTCAAAAATTATAAGGCGTGTTCTCAATTCCATTTGGACCGCTTCTGAAGAACAGTGGTTGTATCGCTTCTCTTCTAGGAAGTTGGTGATTCTTTGGAAGTACTTTTTTACACTGAAGGTAGTGCTTTTTAGGATCCATGTTTGAAAGCTGTTTCTTGCTTTTGATAGCTCTTCTGACAAACATATCTCTAACTCTTCAATTTGGTGATGAATTCCATTTTGGAATTTCTCAGTCTTGCTTGTATTCCAAGCACCGACAGGAAGATTTTTGCTAAATAGTTGGAAGATCTGTTGGAGGAACTCATAGATGATCATTGTGACATTCTTCTGTGTTACCTTGGTAATCTTTATGGGGAATCTGAAATCAGTTGTTTCACTGAGACACTGCTGAGAAAAATAGCCACCCATTTTGCACGGAAGGTTCGTGTTGTGGTAGTTCGCTTTGATTCCTTGGAAAAGGCAAACTGGATGCGACATTTTGATGTACAATGCTAATATAATGCAAACTCGCAGTAAGCTTCTCTGAAGCAAGGTGGTCATGCTGATGAAGTAGTCGGCACTATTTTCCTTGCCTTTTTGCAGATCCATAAGCAGTTTCTTGGTTGTTGTGTCTGTGCTCAAATGTTTCTCTTTCATGTCTCTGAATTTATTTCCTCTGAATGACATGCTGGGTGTTACTCATTTTGTAGGAATTGCATTTTTATCAGCTGTGATCCTGTCAAGGTTTATTGTTGATTTCAGTTTCAAACAGTTGCAAAGATTTGCTCATTTCTGCTTTGACTGTATTTAATTGAAAAAAGAGTAAGTGAGTCAATCTGGTCAGTCGAGGACATGGACAGATTAGCGGGTTGGAATCTGGTAAGGGCATTTCATCTTCTCATATTCTTACTAGAACAGATAGTCTTGCTTTATGCTGAGAAATTTTACTTTTATGCTTAATTTGGCAAAGACTGTGAAAAAGAATCACGTCCCCAGCTAACAGATATGCACTCTAAGCAAAATGTAATTTTATTGATTTAAAAACAAATGTCTTTTTTGATAGGACAAATTGTTTTGTTTGGGGAGTGGCTTAAATTTTATTAGCAAAATAACCCTGTTGTTGACAAAAGCATTGACTCACTAGGAGTTCACGTTGCTATCACTGTGTCGGAAAAAAAAGTATATGCAACTCTTGAGACGGATGCCTTTTTCTCCAAAAGCTCTGATAGTTCGCTGCTCAGAGAAGCTTTCTCCTACTTCATGAACCTTGATCAATCACTTGATGAATCAGCCTACATTTTTAGAGCTGTAAAGGAAGGCATGCTTTTATGTAAAGAAGAGGAATTCCTTACATTTTAGAGTAAGAAATCTTCTGTTCTGAAGCCTCCTCCTGTGAAGACAAGCTCTCAAGGTGACTGAATTTACTTGTGTTGGTAGCAAAATGTCCTATCCTCAGGACTACCCCAGCCAGAGTAATGCTGGAATGTGTCTCCCAGTGTCTGGGTGTTGGTCTCTTCTCCCAAGTAGCTAGCGATAGGACAAGAGGAAATGGGTTCAAGCTGCACCAGGGGAGGTTTAGATTAGATATTGGGAAGAATTTCTTCATGGAAAGGGTAGTCAAGCATTGGAACAAGCTGCCCAGAGAGGTGGTGGAGTCACCATCCCTGGAAGTGTTCAAAAAACAGGTAGACATGGCACCTGGGGACATGGTGGTGTTGGGCTGATGATTGGAATGATGATCTTAGAGGTTGTCCTGGTTTCGGCTGGGATAGAGTTAATTTTCTTCCTAGTAGCAGGCATAGTGCTGTGCTTTGGATTTAGTAGGAGAAGAATGTTGATAACACGCTGATGTTTTTAGTTGTTGCTAAGTACTGCTTATGCTAGTCAAGGACTTTTCAGCTTCCCATGCTCTGCCAGGTGCACAAGAAACTGGGAGGGGGCACAGCCAGAATAGTTGATCCAAACTGACCAGAGGGCTATTCCATACCATATGACATCATCCTCAGTATAGAATCTGGGGGGGGTTGGCCGGGGAGCAGCTCGGGAACTGTCTAGGTATCGATCGGCGGGTGGTGAGCAATTGCATTGTGCATCACTTGCTTTGTATATTATTATTGTTATTGTTAGTATTACTATTTTACTTTATTTCAATTATTAAACTGTTCTTATCTCAACCCAGGAGTGTTTCTCACTCTTACTCCTC